ATCCTAAGATTTCAATATATAAAACTTCCAAGTTTTCAAGATTTGCTTTAATTAAGTACAAATAAATCGTGATGTGGTCGAGGTCTCCTTTCGTTGTGTGGAATTTGTTTGACCTTGTTTTCGCAACTTGATCATATTGGCAGAAAGACCTAAGGGAACGAACCTTTTTCGTAGTCCATAATATGCATGATAATTTCCTATTCAAATCAAGTAGAACCATCACATTTGAGGGTCGGCACGCAATATAATGTAATAGAAGAGCAAAAGAAAGAGCAGTGGCCATTTCTAGTTAGCTGTTAGTTGATAAGTTTGCTCAGAGACGTGGTCCATGAAGTAAAGGCCTGACCAGGATATTTACTTGGTACACATTCCGCCCAGCGATAAGGGAACCTGCAGCGTCAAGTTAGGTTGCCACGGCAAATGAGAATACAGACTTTAGAGGCTTGTTCAGTAAGGCTGGTGTATATGTGCTATCAGGCCTGAGGCAGAGTGTAAAACAACGCCTTGAGTAGCACGGATACGATGGCAGTGATGGGGTGAAATAACTGAAACAGGCAGATAAGGGAAGGATCTTACGAAGCAAGAGGGGACTCTGATAGGAACCGAATAGAGGATTGCGGAGTAAACCGCAGCCTTAGATCAACACTCCCGGAACAGTGGGAGGGATTAGGAAAACAGTGTTTGTGAATAGATTTTAAATAGATCTAGATAAACAAGTAAGAAATTCTGATATTAAAGGGGTTATACGAAGATATAGGATAGGTGAATAGCCCAGGACAGAAGAGATACCACAACTGTTTAGCACACATTTGGTTAAAGGAGCGACTTCACTCTTTTTGACGAGTTGTAATGTGGTACTAAGAATGGCAAGGCTCACTGACGATGCCGGCGAAACGTTTGGGAGTGTACCAAGTCTACGATCCGACTCTGGAAATTATCATGCATGCTATGGACTCCGGATAAGGTGCGTTCCTGTTGGTCTTACTGACAATATAACTAAGTTGCGAAAACAAGGTCAAACAACTTTTATAAAAATGGCTTTAGATGAATATTTTCTTCATAATCTTAAATCGAAGTAACATTGCTTACACAGCCTATGAAAATTTACAATCGAGTTAATCTACCACACAAACATAAAGCGATTAAACAAGAAAAAGATGGCATTGACACTATTAGAAAAAGTGTCTGAAAAGGAATATTTTGTTAAAAGCAAAGTATTTAGCATTTTCCTCGTCTCTTAAATGAGGAGAAAATTATGAAAATAAATTAGCAAGATGCCAGCAGACAGAATTATTTTTCAAGTGAATTCTGCCCCAGCACTAGGATAAGGAATCCTATAGCTTCCTACAGCATATATGAAATCATTTGTCCAATAGTTAAATGAAAATTACTTAAAATTCTTGTTTTGTAAAAATTGTTCCGACTCTCATTTTGGCTATATACGAATAAAAGTTTATTCAAGGAAGATAATTAAATAAGAGAACCAAATATTTCAATTAAAGAAAGGATTTTATGAATTCTGCATGAAACCATTCCTCAGCTAGAAAATCATCAGAGTTCTGACGTGAAATTCTAGATAGCTTGAACATAGAATTACCACAAAGAGTATGTAGTACGCAAGAGTAATGTAATAGGAAGCAGCAGTAAAGGCAATATTGCTCACATCTCTGGCGCTAATAAGGCAGTCGCGCATCAAAGTTGTAAATGGAGTTGCAGTGCAGACGTTGTAGAACGAATAGGCCGCCTTCAGCTGAGTATAGGTCTTTTGATTCATTACAGTACTGGGCAACGTATAGAAGGATACCATATCCGTTATAACACCGGCTTCATCCTAGAAACGTAAGCGAAAAAAGAAGAGGACAAAAGACAAGTAAAAGTAGAATCAAAGCAAAAAACTGACTATAGAAAAAATGACAGCAAAAGATAAAGGATAATGATAGATGAAACAAATCAATTTCCACCTATCTAGTGTTGATTTGACATCATTTTTCAACTTGGTCAGAGCGTCAGGAGACCTTATGGAACTTACCTAGCCTTGCATCCTCTGTTATACTATCCACGATTTCAAGCATCGGATCAGTGGCTTGGTACATTCCCAGAGGTATCGCCGGCATCGTCAGTAAGAAGCGTCATCGTTTTCACAGTTGCAACTTATCAGTCTCAAGTGAAAACAATTCACTTGCCTAATTTTCTTTTCAACCTTTGTGGCGGGCTATCACTCCTCGCCCCTATTTATTTGTACGAACTTCCAGTACTACTACTCTTTCTCTCAAACTCACTTCAGATGGCCAATTCGCATGTTCACAGAACTATGTGCTCTCGTTTCCACCAATTTCAAGTAAGAGTGCGTCGCTTCAAGTGGAGTAAGTCATGCGTAATCATTTTTACCACCGCTTTCAGATTCCCTTTACAGGGCTGCCAGATCATGGCATACTTTCATTTAGCCGCTCTTCCACCTTGCATGTCAATTAGTCCATGTAACACATGAAAATCGATGTCTGGCTGTCTGAAATCTTGTTGCCTATGAAGTTTCAACTCCAATCTTAGTTTATGTCATTTTTTAAGTATTTAAGACCAACTTTTCTTATGCCTAGGCCTCTTCTTCTCCCTTAAACTTCATACCCATCATTCAGCTTTTATTTTCCCATCCCTACTCGATTCTCCCTCCTCCTGGGCCCTGTATTTGATTCGATTTGGAACCTCTGGTGTGAAATGGACAGCTTGCCTTCTGCACCCCTGAATCGAGTAAAGCACTCTTTGTGTGCCAGCCCACAAACGTTTGTGGTTCAACATTGAACCTAAACAAAGCAAGCAGTACCACAACATTTGTGAGTTTCGATGTACAATCCATATACACAAATATATCTGGTTATATGGCGGTAAGTGCCTTGCTGGAGATATTGGAGCGAGAAGAGGATATCCTGGAGGCAGAACCGATACGGGAGGAATAATTAACACGACGTGACAGTAAAAACCACACATTTTACATTTAACGGCAGTACCTACGACAAATATTTCGGCTACTGATAGGATCTCCATTCTTACCTCTTTTGGAAATTGTGTACATTGACGAGTTGGAAAAGGAAATCGAAAAGTCACCATGCAACCAAGAATTCTTAAGCGATACTTTGATGACTACTTTGAATTTTGGTCACATGGTAAAGAAATTTTGAATGGATTCCTCAATTTCATTGACCAACTTAATGAAAGAATTAAATTGACAATGGAGGTGAAGAAGGATGAGCGACTACCCTTTCTGGATAATGAAGTAATGCGCTCTAACAGGACACTCATAAGGAGACTATATAAAAAGAATTCATATGTGGGAATAATCCTTAATTTTTAGTCTCACCATAACTACAGACGGAAGATCGGAATACTGAGGAGTTTGAGCATCAGAAGCTTACGACTAACGGACACTGAGTTTTGGGATCAGGAGTTTGACAAACTGAAATGGATTTGCCTTAGTAACGGCACCACAGAGAATTTATAGAAAAAAAATGTAGTGGTTATAAAGGGTAGATTTCAACTCGGATAATAAGAAAATCAGATGAGAAATTAGGAAGACGTCCAGAAATGTATTTGCCTGTATGCATCAGAACTGAGCCAAAAAAACGACTGGATCAAGGTAG